TCGTTGCAGATCTTTTTATAGGTTTTAGCATGAAACCCCCCACCACAACAAATGACCTTTCTTTTTTCCAACACCACAAAGAGAAGAAATATAAAGCCCTCGAATTTCAGAGGAGAAACTCAACAAAAGCCCAAAATGGCAAGTAAATGGGCCCAAAGTCTCCAAGTCACATCACAGTACAACTAAATATGGCTACGAGACTCAGTATTTTGAGAACACATCACACAAACTCCTGTTGGCAGACCATGATTCAACTTGAAGATTGAGCCTGTTAAGAACAACAATGCAGACAAAGACCTTAACCCTAGAGGGAGTAACAACTTCCCAAAAACACTGATCAAAGGGTAAATTCTTGGATAAAAGGGTTAGGGGTCAAAAAGGAAAGGAAAGGTATGCAAGAAAAAATGCCTGAGGAGTTTAAAGACCAAACTCTCTGATCAGGGATTCAAAAGAAAATGAGTGATTCAAGAAGTTGAGTCTGAAAGGGCACATCAACAGCTGAAAGACATACAGCGAGAGATATGCTTATCAATTTGGACTATGAACAGCAATGAAGAAGTTTAATCAGTTCTACATCAAACACCCTAGTCCAGATCCAAAATGTATGGAGTAGAAAGTATACAGAGTCTTCACTCTTTTCTTTTATTATTTTCAATAAAGACCAAGCCATTGTCACATTAGCACAGGCAGAAACTTGCAGAGGAAGAAAATCACACCAATAAAATATGATCCAGTTCTTTCAATTGGCAGACTTAAAATCTTGAAAACCATTCCTAAAAAAAATCCAGCTGCTCTGCAGGAAAAGTTAGAGAGAATTCAACCGAAATGTGGTTGAACACTTCTTAAAGTCTGTGATTGTCAACATTTCCGACTACTGTAATCTAACAGTTGACACTGCCCATGAGAATGCCTTCCAAAACCAGTAACTGACTCTTCAATACACTTACAAGTAGAATACATGATACTAAGTTAAGATCTTCATCAAACTGAAAACAAGATTGGAAGTTAAACACAAAAGAAAATGTAATTGCTAAAAGAGGAAATTATCAAAAAATTAAAGGGACCTGGACTGGCCTATCTCCAGTGTTAACAACTTTGAGGATGACTGCTTTCCTTCCATGATTGAGGCTGATACTTCCATACCCAAAGATTATCTCACCAGGAATTTTACTGTCTTCTATTGCAGGAAACTTGTCCAGTGAAGGCACTGCAGAATTATCACTGTATTATTATTATTATCATTAATATTATTTGACAGTAATGTCTATCAGAAACTAGAAGAACACATACTTTGAGTAGGAATTGTCGAAACTAAATAAATAACCGGTGAAACTTCTTGAAAGAATATGTGTGAGGAGACTGATGAATTTGAACCAACACATTAAATCAAGCAAATTCGTTAAAAAATAAAAAATCGGGGGAAGAGACACATGGGAAGGGATTGATTGAGCGGCAAAAATATTTGGAGTTTATTCCACTTGCAATATTTTGGATTGTGTGGAAAGAAAGAAACAAAAGAATTTTTGATAGGGTAGAAGATATTGATGGAATTCAAGAGAAAGGGTTTCAAATACTTGGTTTTTTAGTTATGGGTGAACCATTGTATTACACGGAAGATTTAGTAGAACTAATTGCTATCTTTATGATACATGTTATACTTGTTATTTAAAAAAAAGGTGAAGAGACACATGAGTATATGAAGAACTGTTCGATTTGATCGTATTCTATCATGTAGAAGGAACTCATTCTTCATAATGATAATGCAGCTCATGAAGCATCAAGATCATTTCATGCCCAAATATGTTCCACATCATTCCTCAGATTTCCACAAACTTTTCCCGGAAAAGTTTTGGCCCTCAAATTAACCATTACCTTTTGGCCTTCAGGGAGAAATGGGAAACAGGCCAGGAAAATAGGAGAAGAAAGAACATGCAGGAAGCTTTCAGAATCACAATATGAATAGCTGCCAAGCATCTGGCTCATAGTAGAAGAGACTTTTGCTGACAAAAAAATCAGGACCTTAGAATGCACACTATCTTTCTCTTGGATTCCGAAGCTACCACCAGGAAATTGCCTTTGCTAGAAGCTAAGATGGCCCTTCGTAAATAATTTGAAATTTTTACTAAATTGCTGAAGCTCGTTAGAGAAGGATATATGAACATTAAAAATTGAACAAAATTTTACCTGGAATAAACGAACCATATAAAGCTAGCTCCAGGTTTCCATTTTCACTAGCAATTGGATCGTGGATGGTGATTAACTTTGTACCATCTAGGAATGTTCCTTCAACCTGCAACAATATGCTTTATAAGACAACAGAAACAATGTTATAAAACTAGCAATGACCCGGTGAAGCTTAAAACCTGGACAGATTCCAAAAGATTTGGAACCGCTGGAAGAACCTGTCTCCTGTTAAAAGAATAAAGAAGAAAATAATGTCATTCATTTACTAAAGCAACATAAAAGATATGATAAAAAGTTACATGTTTATAGTACCTTCCCAAAAGTTGTCTCCCAATATCCATCAACTCTGCAACAGACTTTTCACCATCGCGCACAAATTCCAATATCTATGAGCATAAATAAAAACAAGATAATCGTAAACCACAAAGCATACACACATACGCACGCACAAGGGAGATATCATATAAACAAAACCATACGCTCTTCTAAGCAGCAACATGAAGACACGTGCAAATGTCGAAGAATACAAACAGAAAGGAACTTAAAATTTATGTTTAGACATTTAACGATAACAAAAAAGGAGTAATGTATACTACCTGAGTAGCAATAAGAGCCACAGCTTCAGCGTAATTAAGCCTTAAACCACGAGCAAGACGCTTCTGCGCAAGGTATCCCGCATTATGAAGACCTAATTTCTCCACTTCCCTTGGTGTCAATTTCATTTTTCAGGCTCCAAGTCAATGCCACTACAAGAAGCTCTGAAATCCGAATCAATGAAGAAAGAAAATTAATTGAGATTGTTGAGAACCTGGAATTATCTGTGTCAAATAACCGATTGCTTTGCAATGATTATCTACGCAAAAACTGAAACTCGAACAGAAAGCGATAACATCCGACTCGTGAATCAAAAAGGAAGAATCATATTTTGATCATTTGATGGGAGAACCTTCGAAGTTGTCGGAGCTTTGACTAAACAGGAGATGGAAGTATCACGAGTAACTTCCACATGTAGACTTCTACTGTCACTGTTGTAGTTGCAATAACAATCATTTTAATTGAGATTATATTTTTATAATTTGATAATGTGATTTTTTTTTTTTTTTAAGTTCCACTGATATTTATTTACTATTAAATAAATTTATATTTATATTTTTAATGATTAAGAATGAATTATAAAAATACATCTTAATTAAATGTTTGGGAGGTGTGCCACAAATAAAACAAAAATAGCAAAAGCATATAATTTTAGGATTTTGTTTAAATCATGGTTTTGATTTTTTTTATTTTTATTTTTATTTTCAAACACATTGTATATTTTTTTTGTAATTGAATAATAATTTTCAAAATTATAATTTTTTTTTATTTTTTCAAACCATTGACTCAGTAATTTTATAAAATTTGATAATTTTTTTCTTTTATATCTTTAATATTTTTTATTATTTACAATATTACTTTTTTCTTTAATTTCTTCTACCCGACACTTTTTCTTATATTTTTTTTCTTCTTATATATATATATATATATTTATATATAAACATGTATTTATATATTTAAGTAAATTCATATATTTATATTTTTAATTATATATATAATATATATTTAATTATGTCAATTTTATATATACACATAGTTATATATTTAATTATCTATATATTTAATTATTTAATTATATATATATTATTACATATATACATAAATTTATGTATTTATATATTTAAATATATATTTTTTATCATATATATTTATATTTTTATTTATATATTATACATATATATAATATATTTAATTATATATATTTATATATCTCTATATTTAATGTAACACCCAAAATAATTTTTTCTATTTTATTTTTTTTGATTTAATTTAATTTAAATTAATTTTTGTGAATATAAAAATATTAATAATGATAAAATTAGGTAAAAATATTATTTGGATTTAATTGAAATTGATTTTGAAAAAAAGTGATGACAATTTAGATTTTGGGGGTATTTTTGAAAAGAAATTCGGAAACCGGAGGTCAAAATGCAATTTAGAAAAATTGTGCCCCATCAGCGCCACGTCAGCAGCCACGTCAGCGGCCCAGTCAGCAGTCCTAGCCAACCAGGACCTGCCGCGTGGCAAGGCCACGCCGACCCGGGAACGGGCCACGTGGGCGATCCGCGTGCACGCGATCGGACGGCCCAGATGCGTCCCCACGCGCACGGACGGCCCAGATGCACGCGCACGGACAGCCCAGATTCAATCAAGTACGAACGGCCCAGATTTAATCGCGATGGACAGCCCAAATTTAATCCAAATTAAATCGCGATCGAACGGCCCAGATTAAATCAAGATGGACGGCTGTGATTAAAAGGCAAAGGGTATAAATAAACCCCCCACACCTGACCACAAAAACCTTAGCCGCCAGCCCTCGCCGGAGAAGACGAACCAGATGCCGGAGGAGCCGGCCGCAGCCACCCGCCGCCGCACCGGGGAGTTTTTCGACCGCCGATCGAGGTAAATTTCATACTCCCGGCTCGATTTTCAATGCTGAGTTTCCCTGTGGCCAAATCGGAGCCAAACTCCCGGCCAAACGGCCGAAAAACACGGTCGAAACCTAGCGGCGCCGGGCCCCTCCTCGGTTTTTGCCTCCGATGAGGGCCTTCCCAGCCTCCGTTTGATACAATTTTTATATCACCGTGATCACCATTCTTTTCTCTACAGGTTGATCAGAGCCAAATCACCAAAACATGAACCACGCCGGAGAGTCGCCGCACCCGAGAGCATCGCCGCCGGTAAGCTTCGGTTTTTCATAATTTTTTGGCCCCCCGAGGGCCCTAGGGTTGTTTTATCGC